AGAGAGAGAGAGAGAGAGAGAGAGAGAGAGAGAGAGAGAGAGAGAGAGAGAGGAGCAACAAAAGAACAATGCGTAGAATAAAGAAAGAACAACACGAGCATACAAAGAAAAAAGTTCAATACGAAGACTTTTCGTTCCATTCAAGTCAGCAATTGGCCGCACTATGATGAAGGGCAACACAAATCATAGCAGAGCAGGGCAAAGTAGATCATAGTAGAGCAGAGGAGAGTAGTGTAGGGCAGGGTAGAGAAGGCTCAGAAGAGAAGAGGAGCAGAGCAAAGTAGGGAAGCGAAGAGCAGGGAAGTGTGAAGTCGAGAGGCATAGAGAAGATAATAGCAGAGAAGAGTAGGGAAACGTAGAGTCGAGGAAAGTAGAGTAGAGTAGAGTAGAGTAGAGTTGAGTCGAGTCGAGTGGAGTGCAATGACTCAATGGAGGGGAGTGGAGTACAATGGAGTGGAGTGGAGTAGAGTGGAATGGAGTAGAGTAAAGTGGAGTGGAGTACAGTAGAGTGATGTGGAGTGGAGTGGAGGATAGTGTAGGCGAATGGAGTGGAGGCGAGTGAAGTAGAGTAGAGCGGAATGGAGTACAGCAAGGCAGAGTGGAATAGAGCAGAGCAGATTGAAGGAGTGTAGAGCAAAGCAAAGAAGATCAGAGGAAAGCAGAGCAGATCATAGCAGACAAGAACAGAGTAGTGTAGGGCAGAGCACGGAAGCATAAAGTAGGGAAGTGTACAATAGAGAATACTCAGAAGAGTAGCGAAGAGAAACGTAGCGAAGATAAGAGCACAGAAACGTACAGTAGAAAAGCGTTGAGTAGAGAAGAGTAGGAAAGAGAAGTGTATGGAAGAAAAGAGTATAGAAAAGTAGAGTAGAGAGGAACAGGGAAGCATAGAGTGTAAGAGCGTAAAGTAGAGTAAAGTGGACTCGAGTGGACTAGATTTGAGTGGAGGAGAGTGAAGTGGAGTAGAGTGGAGTGGAGCAGAGTGGAGTGGAGTAGAGTCGTGTCAAGTGGTGTAGAGTGGAGCGGAGTGGAGTGGAGTGGAGTAGAGTGGCAAATAGAGTCGAGCCGAGTGGAATAGAGTAGAGTGGAGTGGAGTGGAGTGGAGTGGAGTGGAGTGGGGAGGAGTAGAGTGGAGTAAAGTAAAGCGAAGTGGAGGAGAGTGGGGTGGAACAAAGTTGAGTAGAGTGGAGTGGAGTGGAGTGGAGTATTGTCCAGACGAGCGGAGTTAACCGGAGAGGAGTGGAGCAGAGTAAAGTAGAGCAAAGTTGCGTGTCCAAAAATTGATTCAACGTGGGTTCCACATTGAATCCCCGTTGAAAAGCCAATTAGACGGGTTACAACGGGGTCCGCGAACATTTTTTTCGTGGGCTAAAAATAAGAAAAAAACAAATAACAAATAAGGGGTTGTAAATATTTTTGAGGTTTACAACCCCCTATTTTTATTTTTATTTTTTGAGCTCTGACTGTATTTTTTAAAAATCAAAAACATAAACACAATGAAAAAAAAACAACGAAAGATGAAACGAGTGTTTTTTTTGGGGGGGGGTTCACATCTAAGCTACCAGAGTGGCCCAGGTCTACCTGCCCAGCCGGACCAAAAAAAAATATATACGATATATATATATATATATATATATATATAATATTATATACATATAATACTATATATATATATATAAAGGGTCACCAACCCGGACGTACGGAGGTCCCCAAGCCGACCTCTGTACGTACACTCGTTCGAGGTCCGAACCAGACGGTGTTCAGCCCCTGTCAAAAATGATTTTGGGGCCTAAAAATAAGTTTTTTATTCTAAATTTGTTTTTGAGAGCTCTCTATAATGTGAAATACATACCTATAAATTTTGAAGTTATTTTCACCAGCCAAAAAAAAAAAAAAAATCGCCAAAGATGGCGGTGTCAAAACATGATCGGCCACTCACCGGTTTGTTTTGTTTCACTTTTTACTTTTTGTTTTTACTTTATTGTGGGGCCTAAAAAACTTTTCTTTGGAACTTTTTAAATGAGTTTTTTATTATGTGAAATACACATCTGTAGATTTTCAGGGCATTTGGATGTGCCAAAAAAAAAAGAAAATTTTTTAAAGATGGCGGTGTCGAAAACGTGCTCACTCGCTTACTGATTTTAATTCTCTTTTTATTTTTTTATTTTGATTATTAGTTTTATTTTTTGTATTTTATTTTTATTTCAAATTGGGTAAGGAAATTGGATGTAAAGCTGAAACACATTTTCTTTATTTTACTTTTCTCCGTAACATATCTGTTTAGTGTTTTTAATGTTTTTGCTACATTCGGACAGGGTTTGCCGTCAGGCATGGTAACTACTCCTGCCCTCTGGCTGAGGCTGTGTTTGGCTGATATTTTCGTACAGAGTCTGTATTCAGGCTGTTTGGTTTTGTTTTGAAAATGTTTTCCTTCTTTCACTCGCTTTGGCTTGTTTTCCACCAGGCCTTGTAGCGTTCTTTACCGAGGGTTCTTTGTTACCTTGGTACCTTGGGGACTACGCGTTTGATTTGAACCCAATTCCTTACCGACCTCAACCTTTGCTGTAGTTTTCGGTCCGCTTGGAACTTTCGGGAGTTTTTTGGTAGCAATTTGTTGTACTATTGTTTTTTCAACTCATGATAGGCTAGGAACTAGTGTAGGAACCTTGGTGTGAACATATAAGAAATGCTTGAAGTGATTGTATACCCTTCAGGACTGACGGACCTGAGCCTTCGCTAGTTTCCGGAGACTCGCCTAGGTGAAGGACGGAAGTGGGTGCGGGTTACCCTGACTAGTGTGGGATTGCCGACGGTAACCCCCTGAGGAGACGACTTGGCAACTGTCGAAACGGGGCGTTGGGGACGGCCATCCTACGATGTAATACTTTCTATCTTGGTGTTCAATTACTTCCTGCTAAACATCTTGTGTTTGACTCTTTGTTAAGCATCTTGTGTTTGACTCATGATTTGCTACTCTGTTGTATGGCGCATGTTAACTCACCTGGAGTCAAGTTCGTCGGGCAGAGTGAGTGTGTTATTCTTATCTTGCACACGATCCTTTCGAGCTTTGAAGACGAAGACTGAAGACCAAGTTTGTAGACGAAGACAAGTTTGTCGTGGGCACCTCATCTCTACGACGTTGGCTGACCGATTTTATGTCTTCCACCCTTACTGCCGTATTGGACACTTTCTTCCCGTCCAGTGGCTGCCTGGTACATGCATTACCTTGAGCTACGCCAGCATGTCGGGTATTGATCAATGTGAGGGCGCTGGGGGAGGCACCGAAGGAGGCGATGATCATAGGCGTTTCATACCGCCGACATGTTTTCGATGCCATGAACCGGGACACTATGCTAATCAGTGCCCCAATCGAGGGTCGCGACACTATTCTGACAGGCCATCCGCATCCTCCGAGAAACGTCGATCGAGGTTATCGCGGTGCCACTACTCACAAAGAAGGCAGTTTTCCTTCGGAAGGGATGAGGATGTAAGATCGGCAGTTTCTAAGTTAAATAAGTCTGTGGCATTTATGAAGGAGTTTTACGACGAGAAGCGCCTGAAGAAAGAGGAAAAGGCGCGGCAAAAGTTGGAGAAGAAAGAGGCCGAAGAGCGGGAACTCGCTGAACGTGAAAAGCTAAAAGCAAGGAGGATGAAGGCCGAGATGAAGGCTAAGAGGAAAGCGAAGGAAGCTAGACTTGCCGCTGAGATGGAAAAAGAACGCAGAGCGAAGATGAAAAAAGACCTTGATATTCACATGGCGGTCCGGATGAGTGTGATGGAGGAGAACTTTTTCGAGAGGTTCGAACACACTTTGGCTCCCCTCCGCCAAGTTCTGAGGAATAAAGGGAAGCAAAAGGTTTCTTACAAGTCGGTAAGCGAATCCACGTCAGCTTCGAGTGACGGCGAGAGTGACACCAATGTGACTCAAGAGCTTAACGTCCATATGCGGCACCTATGTATCTTCGATAAGCGCAAGTGAGGACCCGAGCCGGTTTTTTAGAAGAACCCACCTATGGAATAAGCGTCGAAACGGACCCCGAAATGTGGCGCTTTGAAGCTTGTCAAACTGACCGCTCGCATCACACGTTCCAAGGCGAAGAACCGTACTCCAGCAAAGTCCCCTGGCTAAAGGACACCTGGGAGGAAGACACCAGTGAAGAGACCTCTCTCTAAACGGAAGTCCCTGAGATCAGCCAAGAAGACTCCACCGCATGATCGTGCATGTACGTCAGTGACACGTGGGGCACTCGAGAGGCTGCGCTATTGGAACAAGGTGATTGATGAGATTAAAAGCCTGGATGTTGTAGAGCTTCAGCATCTCTACAAGGAGGATGGCTTGCAGTACGATGGCAAGATTGATGCTATACTGGAAATTGTAGACCACCGCGTGACTGCAAAATTTGGTGCACAGGTTATCAGAGTGGGAGATGTTATCGATGTTGATGACGCTACCACAGTGGAGGAGGAACCTATACAACAAGTATTTGGAGCAGAATGAGGAGTTTTGGAGACGCCGCAGTTAAGAAAACCGTGCGGGATTATCACGGACCTACGTGGACCTTCGTCGTGTTCAAACCTGCGTTTGGAGGACCTCCTACGTTTTGTTATCTTGAGATTCGCTTTCGACGGAGAAATCCGTTGGCTAAATAAGTACGTCAATTCCTGGTTATGCCTGTATGACGCACACAATTTAGATTTCTTACGCTTGTCGAATTGCGTATATGTCGGTATCTCTCAGTAATGTAAACACCTGAATATCGGTAAGACCACTCGTGATGTGAAGGTCAGGTGGCGTGATCATGTTTATGGTTGTAGATCACATAAGCAGTCGCACTTTCACCGTTGGTTGTGCTCCTTTGGTATTGAGAATTATACGCTAATTCCGATCGACCTTCACGACAATATTCAGTTAGGGAAACTGGAGCTCATGTACATAAGTCGCTGGTCCCCCTTCTTGAATACCTCTGGAGTAAAGAGATCTGGTCGGAAGAAATGCAAACCGAGTAGGCAGGAGCGAGCTGCCGCGACTACCAATCACTCTGGGTGCCCTGAGTCCTTCCAACCTATCAAAGTCCAACTTAGTGTATCGAACCCATGGTCCCTGGATTTTTACCGAGTACTAGACGAGCTGATGTCTCAAGGAATTCGCTCCTTTCAGTTCATTTTTTCGGTGGGTAACTCATGGGACGGTGGTTGGAGGCGCATTTTGAAAGCTTTCGGCAAGTCCAAGGTGATTGTCGAGGGTAAGCGCTTAGAACTAAAGGACTGCAAGCCGTTTTTTGAAGCAGGCGGTCTTTTTAACGTTTTATATCTTTGTAAATGGAAACCCCATTGTCATTTCCTGAAGTCCATGCTTGTCAGAGTGTTGTATAACCCTGAAAAATTAGTTGAGTTCTATGGTTGGAGTCTGAAATTGTTGTTGAGATTATATAACATGATCAAAGATTTTCCCCGTAAGTCTAGTCGTAAGTACTTGCGACGGTTGATCTCACGAGTTTTTCGTGAACGTTTTGATCTTAGTATTAGTGTTGATCCTATTTTTTGGATTAGGTTTGATGAGCGGATTAAAATTTATGAGCTTCGTAAGCTGGTTAATGACTCCCTCATGCTATGTGGCCTACCCTCTTGTTTTATGCAAAGGAGCCGGAAGAAGATCCGTATAGTTAGCATCAAAAACCCTTCTATGGCGGAATTAGTACACAATCAGCGAGATTTTTACACTCGCAGTGTACTCACTTGTAGTTGTGCAAATCTACCCTTTCCTCATGTGGAAGGGCACGTCCGGTGTAGGTTGAGTGAACTTGAGGGGCTTGACCCTTTGCTACATAACTCCAGGAATGTACCAAGAATCCTAAGGGATGACCGTGCCACTACCTTACAAAAGGAGATTGCCAGCGGTTTTGATGGATGGGTGAACTGTCGTACGAAGCCGCAACCTGTCCCGCTCAATGTTTTGTTGAACTGTTTGACTGACCCCACATCCGACACATGTGAGTGTCTGCGCCTTGATCAAGTTCTTGAATTAAAACATATGTTCGAGGGGCTTGTCAACCTTTGGACTTCTCTGGATAGGAACCCGGACAAGATATTGGTTATGTGCCCAGTTGTGTACTTCTCTGGTATGATGTCAATCTTTGTACTTAACTCCGGTTATCGCATAGTGCAATTTCGGAAGGCCAAATTCTACGTGAGAGTAGAGAGGAGGTTTTATCCAAGGATCTCTCCAGTTTTGTAAGATGGGACAAGGCCGGTAGGTTCGGGTCAACTTATATTCTGCCCAAACACAAAAACTTGGACAGATTCCGGCCTATCTGCCCTACGTACAGTGAACCTATGGTACGTACGAGTCCACTTTTGTCATGTGCGCTTAATCATATGTTGTCGTCTATTCCCCAAAGGTGGCATTTTAACTTACCTTCTGTCTCCAATTTGGCTCAACATTTGACAAACACAACTGACAAGATTCTGAGACTGGGCCAGGATAACCATGTCCACTCCTTCTCCTTTGACATTAAGGAGATGTTTAGCAAACTTCCTCATTAGGAAATTTTACGGGCGGTTGAGTAGATTGTTGACCATCACCTATCAAAGGGTAGAACCTTCGTTCGAGTCAATACCAGAGGTCGTGGGGCATCCTTTGGTCTCACAATCGGTGGCGACCATTGGAGGTGCAACCAAGAAAAAGAATGTAGGATATGATGAACGACCGAGGGTGTTATGGAAAGATGGTACTTAGGAATGGGAAAGTAGATTAGGGAGACCTTGATGAGGGGTCTGAACTAATGCTCATCTAGAGTGCAGATTGACCTTACCGGAGGGGCCGTCCGGTGCTCTCTTATGGAAGCAGGAATCGGGTGATGGAAAAACAAGATGGTGCGGTGGTTGTCATCTCCAATCTATTCCAGCGGTCCGGAAATGCCGGTAGATGTAAAGGATGGGGTATCGGCCGTCCTCCCGGAAGAAGGGACGTGGACAGACTTAGAGTCAGCCTATAAACTGTGAAGCTGGACAAGGACGACGCGTTCCTCTGGATAGAGACGATATGGACTAAGGTCAGTCTAACAAAGTTGAAGCCAAGCATGACGGATTTGGAATTCCGTGGGATGGTGGAAGCCCGTGGGTGGGTCTACTTGTCCCATGATGGGGAAAATGCTATGGTCGTGGACTTGGTATTGGGGACTGCTCCTAACGAACTGTTTAGGCAGGCAGAGCGGGAGGTTGTATGGGCAGCTTGTCAGCGGGCGGAAATGGAAATGGATAGGATAGATGTGCGAGTGGAAATCGGGGATAGGAGGAACGTGGGACGGCCCCTTAGAACGATGAGATGCGTGCTACCTTACCTTTTCTGGTGGACGTGGTGTCCGGAACCTGAAGTAGGTTGGTGCAGATATGTCAGTCCATGACAAAGCTTGGGTTGTACCAGTGCGTCAGACAAGACTTCTTCCTGTTGTCGGTAGAAATGAGGCCCTTTGAAGGAAATTGGGCGAGGGAGCTAGCCGAGATGTTGAATTGCCTTAGCATAGACGATGTCTATGTCCCCAACCCAGTACATCGGAAGATAGTTTACAAAAATGTGGCAGTGGGGGAGACCTTCCTGGAAGGGTTGAGGGAATTGTTCTACGACGGAGAGGATGACCTCAGTGACGACGATGAGGGAGATGAAATAGAGGACAGAGATTTCTGAGAGGAAGAACTTATTTGGGGGAAACGAGTGGCCGACGTTGTGCAGGAAGAGATGATGGCTACAGAGCAGCTGCTGATGGACTGCACTTTCAAAGGATGGGAGCCAAGGCGACTCAAAGGGGGGGTAGAAATGCCTATACCAACGGAAAACGAATGGAGAGGGATCACGTGTGATTGGATTGGATTTGAAGTTGCCCTGGAACTATCATACCTATGGATAGAACTGATATGGAACCCAATAAGGGAAGAGGAAGGATGAGACGAGATAGCAAATGGAAAGGTGGAATCAGTTGGAACGATCGTTCTTTCCAAAAAGGGGTGATACTTATTTTGCACTACGTTAGCAGCTGGACAGGATCCGATGTGGCTTTTGGGGAATGCAGAAGCGAGGACTCAAAGAGAAAGTGAGAGGTTCGCTAACGAAGGGTGGGATGAGGTCAATATTAGGGTCGTGATGGGAGGATGGAAGGAACTCAGGCCGCCTTGCCTACGAACAAAGATCAGGGTACCGGAATTCATGGTTGATTGGTTCGGGGGGTTTGACCACGTCTTAGAGGTGGTCGGCTCTATGGAACGGATACATGTAGAGTTTGCCTGGTTGTCTGAGGAGTCTTATAAGACCTCGTAGAAACACGGACCCTTCTACGGCGAAAGAGCCTGGGAAGTCCTCATCATTTTACAAATGAATAAGTATGATCGCCTAGAGGTGGATCCTGAAACCAAAGATGCCATAATCAGTCGGGAGGTGGCAGCCACGCCCTCCTACGTAAATGATGTCTTAAAACTATTTGAAATAATGTGGTTCGACTATGGGACAGAGGGCTCTGAAACCATGAGGAAATCGAGGGGACAAAGGCGAGAAAAAAAAAAGGGGGGATGCATGTAAACTAGGGGGTGACACAGGGTAGGAAGCATGTACATTAGTTAGGCGAGTTGCACATGGAAATTAAAACGGGGGAGGGTCGTTCAACTATTGTGGGCACGACTGTTGATCGCAGGTAAGGAACTAAGACAAGAAGGGCAGTACGTAATGGCCCGAAGAAGGGCGTTCCTTGAAAACCGTCTACAAGGAATCGAGCCACCAAGGGAACGGAATGGCAGCATAGAAATCAGCATTCCCACCCAGAACGAAATCCGGAATCCTATAGTGGACTGGGTCGGAATCGAACTTTTGGAAAACATGGTGTACTTGGTAACTGAAGTAGAATGGCATGCGGAAGGGGAGAAGGACGGATGAAATCCGGATCCGCGAGGGCACGTACGTGCGAAGGGGCGGTTGTACCTATTAGAGGATGGGTGGTGCACCTTTGGGGTCATATTAGCGTCAGGGGAAGACCCGCTGGGTATGTTCGAGGGCGAGTGGTAGCTGATATGGCAAACAGGTTTTGAGTTCGTCGATTCTGAGCGGGATGACGTAACGACGGACCTAGGGGTGGTTATTGTAGGAACCTTTATTCTACCTAGTGAGAATGTACGGATAAGGTTGCCGCCCTTTATACTACAAAGGATGGGTGGCGTAGCGCATGTCAGGCAGGCCGTCGCGGCCCTTGCAGACCTAACTTTCGAAGAAGCAATGACTTACATGAAATACTACCGAATCTTTCTAGAAATGGGGTCGTTCGACAGCGGGGAGAAGTATGAGGTCCTACGCATACTACGCGCAACTTTGACAACAAGGCCAAGGATTCCACTAATCAATGACTACGTCATGTGGGACGTCATCCGGCGGGAGGTAGGCCAGGGTCTGACCTACATAGACGATCTGTACCGGTTGTACGAGCTGGAAGATGCTATCCCCTGAAAGGTGAACTAACAAAAGGAAAAATTAGCAGAAGCCGAAGAAGAAGAACGAGGATATGGAAGGAAAAAGAGGCAGTAGACATACGGTTGCTGAAGAAAGGTTGTAGTCCTCTCTGTCTGGGCTATGCAGGAAATCACCAATCAACAATGGCGGCGAGATGTGTCCAAATGGCACGCCAGCCCCGGTACCCCGGCCCACCCTTGAATAACGGCAGAGGGTGGGAAATATCGCTTCCAACAAGCTTCGAAGTCCGAGGAATCGACGTAGAATGACGGGCTGTAACTTTGGGGAGGGACAGCGCCTTTGTAATGGTGGAATGTTTGTGGACCAAGGTGCACTTTAACCGGGGACCTGGGGATGACCTATACTCCAATTTAGAAATAACTGGGACTTTGTACCTACCCGAAGTTGGATGGCACTCGCTGGGGATCGGAATAGCACAAGGCCACGAACTAACCCCAGTCTTCGGAGGGCCGCCCGGGGACTGATGCAGATAGGTCAAGCAATCCGGGGCAAGAGGAACGTGGGATTACGGACCAAGGTGGAAGTAGGGAGCCGAAAGTTTAGGGCGCCTGCAACCTCGCTAAGATGTCCGGTCCCCCAGTTTATGATAGACCTTATCTTTGGAAGCCTTCCTAGGGTGCAAGATCTAGCGGACTCAGTAAAAGTATGGGTAGACCACTTCCCACCTCAAACCATCGGGATGTTTTACAACGTCTCTGTGGAGCAAGGGCCGTTTTGGGGGAACCGGGCCCGAAAACTGCTTGAGGTCATCAATATCCTGATATTCGGGATGTCGTGGTTAGCCTATGCGGATTATGAGCATATAATTCAGAAAGAAATTGAGATCGGGGAAAGCTATGTAGCAGGGGTAGCTCAACTGTTCGAGGAGCCTACTGAGCCGGAAGGGTCGAGGGGATGAAAGTGGGACTAGCACAGGTGACCAAAACAATATAGCATATTAGTATAATACTACTAAGGTAAAGGGGACAGTCGGATTGAGAAACCCAATTATGTCGCTGCGAGGCAGAAAAGGATGGTAAGGACACGTACTCTGAAAAGTGGGGGGGGGGGGGGGGCTCGCATATACATTTTTAGTAAGAACCACCAGAACGCCGTTTCGGCGAGCTTTGAAGGACCAGAAGGGGTACATAAATTTTAGGGGCCAAGGCATGATGGAGAGCCCCTAGAAGGTTGAAAGGAGGTACCAATCGGCAGGCAACCGGAGCAGGACAAACATAGATGTCCGGAATGGGGGAATAAGTGGTTCCTCGTGTCCGTCCTACATGTGACTAGGGTAGGTGAGACTATTGAAGCTGTCAAATGAACGGAAGATGAGAATAGCTACCGAGTGGGGAGGACCCTGGAATGAGTAAGGCGTTGTAAGCATAAGAGGGGGCACACTCGGCTGACGCAGGTCCTTCGTGACGGATGCGAACCTTACCTACCGACCCGCAGCGAAGATTGGGCATTCTTAAATACCAAACAAAGTTGCGACCTCGAGAAAGACCCCTGCTACCGATATGCCTTCGTCAAACGGGAGGTAATATTAGCAGAACCCACATTCCATGTAAACCAATGTGGGGATAAAACCTTGATAACCATCATGACCGGAGAGGTTGAAACCCTCCTAAAAAACAAGAGGAAAATGATGACCTTAAGGAGGAGCGAGAACCTTCTCCGACAAAGCATATAGTCGGAGATGCTGCATACCCTGTACGGCGTACTAGAACCCTTTAGTGAGCCTGTCGAAAAGCGAAATTAAGTACTATTCCGTAGTCGGATGGGCGAGTAAACCACTTACGGTCTTTTTCCAGAAAGTGGTCAAATGGAAGACGTCGAAAGGCTAGTTTTTGAATGAGGCAATTCGAAAGATCTAGGACCCATAGAGCTTAAAATCCCGAGCGACATGTGCCCTGGAAAAAAATCCTCTGGTTTATGCAGATCCAGGAAAAATGGCAACGGGGGATGAGACAGGCGGTCGCGGGAGCGAGGGAGGACAAGACGTAGGAGGTAGCGTTGTACAAAACGAGGGGGGTCAGAAGGACACGGAATCGACAAATCTGGACGGGACCAAGGGAAATAGGAAGGAACTCTCATTGGGAGAAAGCTCGGGAAAGGCCGAGGGAAGCAAACGAGGGAGCCAGGAAACCAGGGATGGTAGAGATAAAGAAGGACCGGGTCCACAAATTTCGGATGGGGTTGTATCAAAGAAAGTGAGAATCACGGACGCGCAACGCAAGCTAGTGGAGATAGAGAAGAGGATCTTGGAGTACAAGGCAAGGTTGATGAAGGAGATGATGATCAGAAGCGAGGAGGACCTTCCCGGGGTAGGACTGTTTGACGAATGGAGGACCAGCCGAGGCTAAACCAGATTGGAAGGTAAGGATAGTGATCACAAAAGGACACCCAGAGAGGGAAAGAGAGGGGGGACTCTCCTGGAGTAGAAGCGAAAAAAGCTACAAACCTGCCAGCCATAGACAGAGGGGCTAGCCGTCTGCCGACCGCACCAATAGTTATGAGGGGATGTGATGAACTTTGGAGCCTTCGGGACGAGTATTGGGATGGTTCGATACGGAGGGGACTACAAAAGTCGGGGAGAGACGAAGGGTCGGCAAGAAAGGACAGGGAACTAATGCGGTCGGTGAGACCAGCGGTTCCGAAGGTGGCCTCAAGAAGATGGTGTCATCTCTCACGCGAGCACTAAACAAAAATCAAGGGTACCTGGCAGACGCTAAGACAAAGTTGACTTTTGACGGAGCAAACATCACGAAATTCCTAATAGATTACGAGAACCTGACAACATCACTAAAATGGAGTAAAGAAGAAAAGATTGGCCACCTAGGGCAGAATGTGTCGCTTAGCCTAAGGCGAGACATAATGGCAATCGTCGCCGCCAGCTGATCTTGGAAGGAAACCCGAGAAGTGATCATGAGGAAATACCTGGCAGCAGAAAAAATGACAACAGAAGTCGAATTAGCGACAATACAAAGAAAGAACTTCGCCACGTACAATGACTTCCTGAGAGAATTTACCCCGGTGGCGTTGAGGATCCCCGGGGTAACAGACCGAGTCATGAGCAAGTATTTCATCAGGCAGTTCTCCGAGTTCGACAAGGATAAGATTCTGTCGACATACCAGCAAACGAACAAATTTGTAAACACGTGAGTGGTCAATTTCACTACGGTAACAAACATTGTCGAAAGAACGGTAGTGACCGAGTCGCTGACCTTGCTTAAGGAGGGGGAAGTCATAGATCTAACCGGCAAGACGGGGGACAAGGTGAAGAAAGGGATAGAAAGCCTACACTAATGTGTGCATGAGGTCGACAATAAGATAGAGACGATGAAGAATGCGCTAATGGTAATGCAAGCGCAGGTATCCCGACCCTCCTTCCCTCCTCAAGAAGTCATAGTTTCGACAGGAGTGGCCAACCGAGGGCTCAACAGGAGAGACCCTGCCAATGAGCACTGCAAATATTGCACAACGATCGGGCATTTTGTGCGAGCTTGCCCGAAGCTCAACCACAATATCATAAGCAAAAGGTGTACCAGGTCACTAAAAGGGGAAATTTTTGGACCTTCGGGAGAACGAGTGAATTGGAACTCGCTTGGAGGAATGTGGCGTGTCATGATTGCCCTCAATAACCTGGATATAGCAGCAGTAGAGGTCGAGCCGGTAACCGACATCGTCGGGAACCAACCCGAAGGGCGCGGGGCATAAGTTAACTTTATCCTAAAAAATGACGGACACTGTAGGGTGAACGCGACTACTCGGCAGGGAGCAGCGACGAAGAGAGTTATCCATGATACGGTAATGAAGGCAGTCGCAGGGGGCACCACAATCCAAACCGAGCTTGAGACCGGGGAACCAAAAAAGGTCTACATAAAACCTAGGGAAAAAGAACTTACGGACAAATTCACCGCAACAAAGAAGAAATCCAGGTATCAGATTTCGATCTCAACCATGCCAGAGATCGACGACACCCTTTGCAAGTTGTTGGGAACCATGGTATCGGTGTCCTTTCAAACCATGTTACAGGGAAGTCCTAGGCTGCTCAAAGGGTTTTGGCGACTATTGACTCGTCGACGAGTGGAGGTAGAAGAAACTCCAGAATCACAGAAAGAGGAAAAGGTGGAGGAGACTCTGCAAGAAGTCGCTAACCTTCAAAAGATTCCTAAGGATTTGAAGGATTTAGAAAAGGTTTTCGCTGATATCCGCTTAAGCCTACCAGATCGTGAAGGCAGGGAAGTCATGAGAGCGCCGTCCGGAATAAAACTCAGTTTCCATGCGCTGCCCGTAGGAAAGCTAAAAGTATAGATCGAGACTCATCACATAGACGCTCTAGTAGCTGGACGTGCGAAAATCACACTCATAAGCAGAGATTTGACAACGATCACCGACTATGTAGTTAACAAGGAAGTAATGGGGAGCATCCGGGGAGCCTGTAGGGAAATCCCGTTCTAAGGATATCTAACCAAGTGTGTAGTCAAGGCGGGTGTCCGGAAGTCAATCTGGTCATTTCAACGGATAACCGTGCCAGACGAGATGGACCACGACATAATTCTTGGGAGACCATGATGTGCGGTAGACATAAAGGACTCGGTAACTAGCCGCGGGGAGCTCTTCCGACTCATTGGGACATGAGAAGATAATCCTAAAGGAAAATTGGCAACGTGGTCGCCTTCCATCGAAGGCAGCACTCGAAATTGGGCTTTCGCTCGAATTGAGTGAATTAGAGAGAGGGTGAAAATCATTATTAAGGTGTTCAGTAAGAAAGAATGGATTAAAATGGGCCTACCTCAGAAGAAAAGGAGGCAG